CACAGGGGCTCAGGGATGTCACCTCCCCATCAGGGACAGCTCCCATGTCACTCCCTGCCCTCCTGGATGGAGTGGGAGCAGCAGGAGCCCCCATCCCTCAGGGAACCCCTCCAGCTCTCAGCCCAATGCCAGCAGTGCCTGGGCTCTCTCCCCTGCTCTCTCCTAAGGATTTTCCCTCTCCTGCCCTCCAGCCTGAGGATTTTCCCCTCTTCGTGCTCCTTTAGAGGGGTCCCTGTGCTGTGCCCGTGGCATCCTGCACCCCAGCACCTCCCTGCCCTCAGGAGCCCCCTCCCCAGCTCCCTGCCACGTCCAAGGGTGTGAGAAATGGATTTGTCAGGATTCCCAAAACCTGACAGAAAGCTCACACAGTCCTGCACAAGTGCATGCAAACTCTGAGAGATAAGGGGTGCTGGCTTAGGAAGGCCATGGGATAGAGATGACATTGTTGAGAGGGAGATTGAACTAGAAACAAGTTTCAACAAGTTTCAAACGATGGCCTTGCAAAAAGACCAGATATTTTGGAGAATTACAGCTGTGAAAGATGCATTGTTAACAGCAGCACTGTGTGGCAAAAGCTAATAGGCTGGAAATCATTTCTAAGGGATTGCAACCAGGAAACAGGCTGGCTTCTGATGGAATGGTATTATGTTTTACATCTCCTATGTCTCACCCTTCATTGGGACTGATAATGGAATAAAATCCTTTAAAAAGCCTCTCAGTTGCCCCATCTCTGAAAAGCTGGGAAAACCAACACAAGGGCAGGGGAGAAGGGAGAAGCTCACCTTTATTGGGGGCCTGGCAATGGAGTGGAGCAGGAGAAGGCCAGAAACCAGCACCCCAGCCACGATTCCATACTGCACCTCCCAGAAACACAGCAGGAACGTCACACACAGGGGCACAAGGTCCAGCCCTGCAGGAGAGAGAGGCCAGGCTGGCTGCGGCTGCTCCTGGTGCCACAGGGCACTCGGTGNGTGCAGAACGTGCCCTCGGGCTCGGCTCACCCCACCAGCACCGCCCCAGTTTGCTTTCAGTTTCTATTCCCTGGCACGCTCAGCAGCACCAGAAGATAACTCCCCTTCCCACACAACAGGAAAAAGCTTTCCCTCAGGAAGGCAGAGATCACACTGGCTCATTAGCAGTTTCTGATTTATTGCACCCTCCATGTCCCGAGGGCCGTTCAGGGGAACTGAATTCCCGACCTGCCCAGCCCCACCAGGTGCTGTCCCCATGGCACAGCCGGGTGCCACCGTGCCCGTCCCCTCGGCAGGGCCCAGGCCAGGGGCTGCACCCCAGGGTGAGCCCAGCCCTAACACGGGGCAGTGCTTGGCACAGCACCCCACAGACAACAGAAGGATAAAAAAGGTAAGGAAGGATAAAAATCAGTAAGGAGCACACTCCCAGACGTTCTCCCTCTCCCAGAGCTGGAGGCTGAGCCCCATGGTGCTTGGAGGGCAGCACAGCAGCCCTGAAAGCTTTGAGAGCTCCCCCTGTGTCACCACTGGAGCAGCCCAGAACGTGGAAAAGGTCCAGAATTAAAACAGTCATTTAAAAATGGCAGCAGCTCCCTGCAGGGAGGATGGCTTTGCACTGGTCACTGTGACAAGGAACAGCTCTGTCCCACAGCCTGTGTGGGGCTGGGCTGGCACTGCTCTGTCCATCTCGCCGTGGGACATGGGGACAGCCCATCCCCGTGCCCAGGAGGGACAGCTGGCTCCCAGGGAGGTGCTGGTGCCACTGGGGTGGCACAGGACGCTCAGCCCACACTGGTGTCACTGGATGAGCCCGGTGCTCTGGGCAGGGCTGGTGGGGGGCTCTGCCCTGCTGCCCCCCAGCTCCCTGCACCGCTCTGGGACAGGAGAGGGGAGGCAGAGTCAGGGCAAGGCTCACGTCCTGCCTCTGCCTGGCACAGAGGGCATTTTCTTGTTCCCAGGAGCTGTTTCAGAGCTGTGTTTGGTTCAGGATGAGGCTCCCGTTGATAACAGCCCCATGGCTCAGCTGCTGTGAGCAGTGCTTGCACTGAGCCAAGGACTCCCCAGGCTGCCCGGGCAGGGAGGAGCTGGCAGGGGCAGAGCCAGCAGAGCTGCCCCAGTGCCCAGAGGAGGTTGCAGAGCACAGGGCATGGTGCTGAAGGAAACACCGGGGGGATGTGGCCGAGGGGTCTGGCCACTGCTCAGGGGGTGGTGAGCAAGCACCCTGTGCACCACTGGCTTTGGATATTCCTTTATGGTTGTGGTAATTTTCCTTTTTGTTTCTGTTCTGTTTAACTGCCTCATCTCAGCCCAAGAGTTTTTACCTTTCCTCTGATTCTGTCCCACCCCTCTGCAGGGGGAGTGAAGGGCTCTGTGGTGCTGAGCTGCTGCTGGCTTGAACCACCAGAGCTCACCACCAATCCCCAAGGCTGGGGAGACCCAGTTCTTGGCAGGGGTTCCAGCTCACCCCCCCAGCTCCCTGCAGCCCCCACTGTGCAGCTGGACAGGTCAGATCCCCACGGGTGTCCCCAGAGCCACACTCACCCCATCCTGGCAGAGCAGCCAGAGCCTCCCCTGCCTCCTCCCTGCTGGGGAAATGCTGGAATCCTTCTAAGTCTGCAGACAGGAGGACTTGGAGAACTGGCTCCTGAGGGCAGAGAAACCTGGGTGGGAGTGCTGCTCACTTCCATCCCCTACGGCTGAGCCCCCAGCCCACGCCAGCACCCCCAGCCCTCCCAGGACAGGCACCCAGCCATCCTAGCGTGAGCACCCAGCCATCCCAGCACCCCCAGCTATCCCAGAACAGGCACCCAGCCATCCTAGCATGAGCACCCAGCCATCCCAGCACCCCCAGCCATCCCAGCATGAGCCCACAGCCCATCCCTGCATGAGCACCCAGCCCATCTCAGCACCCCCAGCCCCAGCTCTGTGAGATGAAGGTGCTCGGGATGGTGATGGTGCCACCAGGGGAGAGGCCAGCACAGAGCCCATCGGCCACATCCACACCCTCCCCAGGCCCAGGGTGGCGTGGCCAAGGCCCCACACACCTGCAGGGCACAGAAGGCCAGCGGGAGGCCGTGCCTGTGCAGCTCCTGCAGCAGCTCTGCCAGCCCCAGCACTGCTGTGTAATCGATGCTGCTGACGTGGCTGCAGTCCAGCAGCACAGGGCGAGCTGGGGATGCTGCTGGGAGAGCACAAGGTCATGTCCCCATGAGCAGCAGAGCCAGGGGTCCCAGAGCCAGGGCAGGGCTGCCAGGGTGGGGCACTGGTGCTGTCACCGCTGGCACACGCAGAGCTGGGCCTGG